ACTGTATTGCTGAAATCAATACACAAATATGGATGGTGGATGATTCGGATGAATTGGTTTGTCTTAAATGGTCAAAAAATTAAATTTAAATAGTCCCCTGCTGTATTTGGTGTCATGTATTTAAAGCAGAAACACACAAGTGTGATGACAGAATGGTTTTCCATCCATCCATCCATCCATCCATCCATCCACCTTCTTCCGCTTTATCCGGAGTCAGGTCGCAGAGGCAGCAGCCTTAGCAAAGCCGCCCAGACTTCCTGATCCGTGCACACCTCCTCCAGCTCTTCCGGGGGGACCCCTAGGCGTTCCCAGGCCAGTCGAGAGACACAATCTCTCCAGCGTGCCCTGGGTCTTCCCCGAGGCCTCCTCCCAGTGGGAGAATGGTTTTCCAATCGTAACATTGAGACATATTTATCGTTTAAGATTTTCTCAAACTGCTGATCAATATTTAATATATAAATATGTTAGTATCGACTGGCTCATTTTCAACTGCAACATGTTTTGCAAACCATTACTATAACAAGATATACAGAGAGAATAAGACGCCGTAAAAGATGGTAACAGAAAGCAACTTATGTCATCAAGACAGAAAAAAAACGCACAAAGCAACTGTAGGCAGCAATACCTTCGTAAGATGATTCCAACACCACAATGCAACCAAACACAGCCAAGCAACGCTAACCACAAGCAGAGCAGCAATACAAGTTACAAACACCACCTCCACTAACTGGACTTTCCAACAAGACAATGGCCCTTTGCCACATGGCAAGTTCAGATAAAGCCTGGATGGAGAACCAGAACATTGGAACCATGCCTTGGCCTGCTCAGTCGCCAGACCTACATCCAGTTGAAAACCAGTGGAAAACCATCAAAGGCAAAATGGAGAAGCACAAGCTCAAAAACAAAGCACGTTAGTTGGAATTTGTGCAACAGGAATGGGCTGCTGTGCCAGCAGAACCATGTCAGAAGCTGGTGGAGAGCAGCCAAGACGCATGGCTGCAGTCATCAGAACAATGGTCATGCCATCAAGTACTAACTCCTGTGTGCACGATGAGACTAAAACAGACAGAAAAGAAAACATGGAATGCCTCTAAGCTCTGCTGTTGGCAGCCCAGTGCCACAGCTACTGATGGAAGAACTGAAGGGACGCTGGTTATTATCAAGAAAGCCCTGGAACATGTCTGATATCAGCTCTTAAGTTAAACTCTTCTGAGCTATTTTTGTTGTTATGATAGTATTTGTCCAAACAAATGTACCTTTAGTGGTACCAGCCATTAAAATGAACAAGACGTTGGAGAAAACAAGGTGGTCTCATGTTTTTTTCATGACTGTGTATCATATACAAACACACTTAAGCCTTAAGTTCTGAATTCAGAGGGAGCATATATCTCTTTTTTTCAACCACACCCCCCAAAAAAAATGTTTTAAGAGTGTGTTTTAGACATTTAACTGACGTTCGGGGAACATTTCGGCAGCCTACCTCGAATCCCACTGGTGCTGTTTATCTTGGTGCTGTTTTAAATATACCAGCACACACCTGCCTCTTCTCGCAACTCATCTGGTTTCTTCGCCTCCTTTGGTTAAATTCTTTCCAAAGTTCTTTCCTGCACAGCTGCTCCAAATTAGGGATTAATGACGCAACCTCTGCACCTGGACGGTGACGTTGCATTGTGGGTAATGTAGGCATCATTATAAAAAATAAATAAATAAAAGGAAAGGCTAATAAAAGTAGAAATAAGAAGACAAATAAATAATAAATATTTATTTATCTATTTATCAATCTAAAATAAAAATGAAAAATACTAATACATTTTAAAAATAATGAAAAATAAATAAATTGAAACGTTTTTAAAAGTACAAAAATTATAAATACATTAATAAAATAAAAAATAATAATTATGACTTGGGCTGCAAGGTGGCGCAGTTGGTAGCACTGTTGCCTCGCAGCAAGAAGGTTGCCGGTTCGCGTCCCGGTGGGAGCACCGGAATCTTTCTGCGTGGAGTCTCCATGTTCTCCCCGTGCAGCGTGGGTTCTCTCCGGGTTCTCCGGCTTCCTCCCACAGTCCACAAACATGCTGAGGTTAATTGGTGATTGTAAATTGTCCGTAGGTGTGAATGTGAGTGTGCTTGGTTGTCTGTCTCTAAGTGTAGCCCTGTGATAGACTGGTTACCTGTCCAGGTGAACCTGCCTTCACCCTGAGTCAGCTGGGATAGACTCCAGCCCCCCATGACCCTAGTGAGGATTAAGCGGTGTATAGAAAATGGATGGATAATAATTATAATAAATTATTTTTTTATTTGTCTTTATATTTCTACTTTTATTAGACTTTTCTTTTATGGATTCATTTTTGATTAATGTTGCTTTATTATTTATTTTATATTTTATTTATTCTTCTTTTTATTTCCACTTTTATTTTATTAATCTTTTATTGATTTATGTTTGTAGTTTGGCACTCTCACCACTCCACACATAGTCGAGCTGACACAGTGAGATGCCCCTAATCCCACAATCTGTAGTTTATCGAATATTTCTGTTTGAAATGTGAAATGTTTCTCTAACACTGGCTGAGGGGGGCCACTGTCCCTCCTTTTCCATCGTAGTGATACTTTAACTTGAGCAAAGAACTGGTGCGGTTGTTTCCAGCGCTGCTGCTGCTGCTGCTGATGTCAGACGGGCTGGGTCATGTGAAGGGCAGCAGCGGATGAGGTTCACCGAGAGTTCAGCCGCATACATTAGGTAACACCATCGGTCGCTGTGACATAACTAGTATGAAGCAGGTTGAGTAGAGACATTCGTCAATAAAGAAGAGATAAGAAGCGCTCCTACAAACTTTGTTATGCAAAAAAGCCTCCAGACGTCGATGTTTGGAGCCGCTGCGCTCTGCTGGAGGAGTCCGCTGGCTGCGCGTCAACATGCCAACACTTTGTGAGCGTCTGGGGGAAATGCAGCTCTGGTTCTGAGTGTGATACAGACATGCGTGACTGTTTAACGCCGTTTGCATCAAGTAGCCCATAAAGCGGTGTGAGCTGAGATACGTCACCCTGTTTGGAGGATTTTTCACAGCATCCCCACGCAGCAAGAGTCATGTTTGATTTTATGGAATTTCAAGTTTTCGGTCCCGGAGAAATCATGGACTTCTACAGCACTTCCAGCCCTGCCTGCGTGCTGCAGGAGCAGAAGCAAGATTTGGCGGATTTCTTCCCGGAGCTGATCGAGTCGGACTGGCAGGAGCACCGCTGCTCGCAATGTAGGTGGAAGCTGGTGATGTTCTGGTGCGCAACGATGTCCAGATTCTGCCCGAGTAGCATCGTATCTTCAGTTGTGTTGACTGAGATCAGGTCCGTTTATTGACATTATTTGACCAGAAACCAGAGATGCACCTCTGCTGGCCTGCTGTCTGCAGCGCACCCTCCACCCTGAAACCCTCTAAGGGCTCAGGACAACTTTACCAAACACCATGCATCTACTAGCGATGCATTATACTGTAGCTCAGCATTTACACTTTTTATGTACACACATTATAAGGAACCATCCTTGCAGTGGAGAAAAAATCCCAAACATTAAGATAAGTGAGTACACTGCAAATAATACACTTAACATTTTGGCAGGAACACGGTTATGGACTGCAGTGATGGGATAAATCCAGTGCATCAATCAGTTCTTTATTTTAAAGCCCCTTTCAGAGGTTAATGCATACAGCTGATAGATAGCAAAGGTGTGACACTAATGCACAGGAGAAATATAGATGAAATGAAAGATTAAAACCAAAGGAAATCATCCAAAACTGCAGTAAATTTAATTTGTAGTAGGGAATAACACATCTGACAGCATTAATACAGTGAATTCAATGAGTACATTTTGGATTAAAACAAAGATTTTAATGTAAAAAAAAAAAAAGAGTAGGTTTTACATGTGCTTATTGAAATATGAAAGGATTATATACTCAGCAAGTAAACTCTCACTGACCCTAAAATATGCAACATACAGCGTGCTTGTTATTCATAACCTCTGTTCAGTGACTGATATTCAAATCATAAAGTGAACCAAAATGTCTCATCTGAACAATGAAACTCTGATTCTCATTTTGGTTTCAATTTCACTGAAAATGTGAGTTTTCCTCAAAATCAGAGCAACAGATCCCAACATTAACATCTTCAGAAATACACAGGTTAAAACAAACTACAGCTATGAGCACGTATAAGGCTTCTAAATGCACAGATGTATTAATATGAAGTCACAATATGTATGACATTTCCTAAATAAACACTTGTAAATGTCATTTTATGCATTTAGAAGTACATTGTAGTGTGATGTCAACTGTTTGTTGAATGTTTAGATGCTAAATGGGGAAAATCTGTCTGTTCTGCGTTCATGCGCTCTTTATCTACACACTGTGGAGGTTTGCAGGAGTTCGTTTGCAGCAGATAAAGAATAAGCAGCAAGCAGAGGATTGTGTCTGAGTGCAGAGCAGCTCATGGCTGTGTGGTGGTCTGTGTTTGGGACGGGCCGGTCAGTTTGGGGTCACGGCGGGTTCACCGGACGGTCACCAGCTCAGGAGGTCAGAGGAGAGCCAGACTGTGCCGGTGGTGTGAGAAGCAGTGACTGAGAAAGTACAGATAAAGCACTCGGTATGCATTAAAACATCCCGATATGTTATGATATACGACATTAGGAGATTGTTTGAAAGAAGGAAAAAAGTTCACATACTTTGGTTAGTTTATCGTGCTCTGGGCCTCAAGCAGGTGTGGTTGTAAAAATCTGGGAACTAAGTGCACAGTCAGATAAATTAAGTGAAGTGAAAAAGGACAATGTTTACCTTTGCAGTGTACTGGAGTCAAAGGAGCATAAAAAAGAGAGAGAGCTTTCTAAAATCCAAATACCTCAAAACTGTACTCAAGTATCATCACTGATTGCTGCTGACAGTCAGTTTTTAATGGAAGAAAAAAATCTTATCTGCTTTGTACGTCGTTGTCTCACTGGCACATTTTCAAACCAAGAAAATATAAAAGCATTTTTTTGTTTTATATTTTCATACCGATCTGAAGTGCAGCTGTAAAGGTTTCAGTATTATAACACACCTTAGTTTCAGTGGAAGACAGATAGATCAATAACAATAAAGGTCATTGGATAAAAAAATGTTTTAAAAAGTTTATCTTTAAAAGTTTAATCTAGAGTCAACCTGTAACTGCACCTCCAAAAGCAGCCAAAGCAAATTACAAAAGTAATGTTCGCAAAACGAAAACAAGTAAAACAAGTGTTTGCATCAACTGAGTTATGATTCACAGAGGAAGCATAATGAATAAGAGTCCTCTCTCTTAGTAACCAATAGACCCGTTTGGCAGCATGTAGCGCTCATGAGTGAATGTATAGAAGCACAACATACAGTTCGTCCTTAACTGGACAACACAATGGCAGCAGTTGCCTTTTAGACTCACCTAAGCCTCCCCAGAAAGTCTTTGTTGATTGGATGTTTGACTCCCACAATGCACTGTGGCATACATCAAACACCACCACCTAAACTGGGACGGGCTCCACTGTTGTCCCCCCTCCCCCGACCAAATCACTAACGCCGCCCCGTCACACACACTGTCTGCTCCTCCAGCCTCTCTCTCGCTGCCTCTCATCAGTCAGTTGGGCTCGTGGCATGCTCCGCCATTGTTTAGCGTTGGGGGCCGATGGGGGTGTCCTCGTTTGACCCGCCGGTTCCAGGTTCAACCAGAGGCCATGGGTTCAAGGGGACGGAGACGAGCGATTTTTCTCGTTTTGGCCCCTTTTTGCAAAACAGCTTTCTTCATTTTCTGTCAGAGCCGGAGTGGTGGAGGCGACCGCAGAGCCAGCAGGAGGCTGGGCGAGCTGCACACTGGAGCACATCTCTGCTCAAAAGTGGGTTCAAAGTGGGAGGGTTGTGTGCTGAGTTTGATGGAGTGAAATGAAACATTCAGCTGGACAAAAAAAATGGAGATGAAAGCTGTGCTGAAGTAGGTCACTTTGCATCTCAACAGCTGTACATATTAGCCAGAGGTCACTTTTACACTGAATCCACGACTGTGAGCACAGCTTTGTCACTGCTTATGAGACAGTTTGGGTTTTGTTCTTGAGTGTCATCGAGCAGAAATACACAACTTCACAGTTTCATTTGTGCAAACTGAGGAATGTGTGTCAGTAAAAGGGCAGCAGGGCGCCTTGATAGTGATGCAGCTTCACAGTCAAAGATAAAGGCTGATAAGATCGGTGTTGATTTACACAGAAGTCCTGCAAGGTGAGCAGGGAGCACCGAAACAATGCCCTGTGGTGATGAGTCGGCTTTTTGAAAAAAGTTTCTGCTTTTCTGATTGGCACTTTAATTTATTAAATTTATTTTCAAATTATTATTGCAGTGGAGTACACACACTTACTGATACGAAATAAATGTAAAAGTTTTAGTCGTGATTATTCTATGGCTCCGTTTGCTGAATCCTCAAAACATGCACGTCTTCCTGTATTGTGTGTCTTATCAGTATGTCCAGCCAGTTACTCAGAGTAGCCTCAATGTTTGCCTCCATTAATTGTTTATCAAGATGAACAAACCCTCTGTGATGTCACTCATAAGTTACCTGCAGTTTTGAAACTCCACTATCTCTGCAACGCCTGACTTATCGTGACTCTTCCAGAACTGAGCAAAGACTTCATATAAAACTGCACCGCCTGTCCAGTTGTCATGATGGGGAATAAAGCTAAAGAGATCAAACAGGTTTTTTTGCACCAGGCTGTAAACATGTTTATTTTGGCTGTAAGGTTGGCTAGGTGTCTCGGTGGTTAGCACCATCGCCTCGCAGCTGGAAGGTCGTCGGTTCGCGTCCCGGTGAGGACACCCGGGATCTTTCTGCGTGGAGTCTCCATGTTCTCCCCGTGCAGCGTGGGTTCTCTCCGGGTTCTCCGGCTTCCTCCCACAGTCCACAAACATGCTGAGGTTAATTGGTGATTCTAAATTGTCCGTAGGTGTGAATGTGAGTGTGCTTGGTTGTCTGTCTCTAAGTGTAGCCCTGTGATAGACTGGTTACCTGTCCAGGTGAACCTGCCTTCACCCTGAGTCAGCTGGGATAGGCTCCGCCCCCCATGACCCAAGTGAGGATTAAGGTGTAGAGATGATGGATGGAAGGTTGAACATTTTAACATGAGGGTCTATGGAGGCTGACCTACTTTTGGAGCATTTCTGCATTATCTCTTTATATATATAGAACATGTGTAATATGGCTGTTTTGGAGCTTCGTGTGCTGGAAATTCTCTTTCTGTTCTGTACTACTGTTCTTGATATATACATTTATTTTTAAAAATGCATAATGAAATCTGTGTGAAAAGGTTTAACCCAAGATATTATTTAAACCTTATTGATAGCGAAAAATTAGACACATTTTTCAATGCTGTGGTGCCGTGAATCAACAGTCTGCCTTTTAGATTATGAGATAGCGAGTTTTAAACCGACATTTTCTCCTCTTAGGTGATCATAATTTTTTGTTGTTTTCTTTTCTTTGTCATACATTTTTTCATGTTTATACAGAAGGCCTGAGTAAAGGTCCTGAAAACATTTATCACATGGAGGTTTAAAGTCAACTTATGTAAGGCTGCAACTGCAGGTTATTTTTCTTGCAGATTATTTTCTCCACACATAGTTTCTATAAAATATAGAAAAAACAGGGATGGATGCCTGTTACAAGTTCTCACAGGAAACATGGCCAGCAGTTTCTGAACACATAAGTGATTGTTAAATGTGGTTTGTTTGAAAATTGACCAAAAGATCGGTTGACTGCGGGTTCATTTTCCATCCATCCTCTCCTTGTCGCAGCTCTAACCTGCAGACAATCTGTCAAGTATGTTAATGAAATGATGCACTCAGTCAGACATCCTGTTCAATAGATAGAAATGCAGCACGGTCATCTCTTCCTGCTGGGTTTGTTGGTCAGTGACGTACGGTGTGATGTCGTGTGTTTTGCAGCAGTGGGAAGCCAGAGCTCCAGCTCCAGCTCAGACGATCTGTTCGCCAGCCCCCCCTCTCCGCCTCCACCTCCACGCACTTACAAGCCCTGTTTTGTGTGTCAAGACAAGTCCTCGGGCTACCACTATGGAGTCAGCGCCTGCGAAGGCTGCAAGGTAACATGTCAGAGCTGTGGTCTGCTCCACAGCACCACCTCTGTTAGGTTCCAATCAAATGCTAAACCTGGTTTCACAGATTTATTATCTTGTGCAGGAAGAGCTCCTGTTTGGGCTGATTGTCTGTAACTGGGAGCAGCTTCTCAGCTCAGTAAATATATTTGTGTAAAATTCAGTCCAACACCATGTTTTATTATGTTCTGTCACATTATTAATCACTACACGGACTGAGTTGGGTCTTGATGAACACACACGTGAACAACCTGGAGTTCAGTCAGTTTTACAGGAACAGTTTCTTCCTATGGATGATCGATTTTATGTAGTTCTGCAGAGAGTCTTGCTGTTTATTAATGTTTTATGTTCCTTCACTTGCTGTCCTGTTTTTTGCACACTGAATCCAGGTTTTAGTTTGTGACAATTTTGTAAAATCAAACTGAGGTTCTGCTGAAAATCAAGACATTTAAAAGGCAAAGTGCCTCTTCTGGCACTCTGAACGAAGCAAACGTCGCAGGATCTCTTTGTAGACGTGCTGGTTGATCGCCTGAAAGGGAAAACTCCTAGTTTGGGTTTGAAATATGTCATTTGTGACACCAGTCCTGGAACTTTTCTGACACACCTCGTAGTTTCAAGGCACACTAATCTTAATGTATGTAAACTTTGAAACTAGTAAAACAAAATTCTCTCATTTTTCTGGCGTTTAGCAAATAGAAATAATGTCGGTAATCCTAACTGACCGAAAACAGGAAAAGTTTAGTCTGATTTAATGTCAGACAGTGAGAAAAAAAGGTTATGTGTCTTTTTATACAGCAAACTTCTGGTTTCAATCGTATTATAAATAATTCATTTACAACTGGAGCAAGAGTCAGTGTGTCACCTGCGTCTTGATATATTGGATTAATATTTTGTATAGAAATTAATTTACAGACTTTAGTGATCCCTTGACCTTTGCTTGGCACCACCAGGAGTTCACATAGTTCTCTATTTTAATGAATTTTTGAAACAGCTTGAAATGTAATGCGTTTATGCTTCCGAGTAAATGAATCATTGTAGTTCATGTTAAAGCAAGATTATGTTCAGATTCAGATTAATTATTAATACCTTCTCTTTTTTATCCTGGTGTCTCTGCAGGGCTTCTTCCGCCGCAGCGTACAGAAGAACATGGTGTACACCTGCCACCGCGACAGGAACTGCATCATTAACAAGATCACCAGGAACCGCTGTCAGTACTGTCGGCTGCAGAGGTGCTTCGCTGTGGGAATGTCCAAAGAGTGTGAGTGGCTGATCCACTCTGACTCAGCAGAGCTCATGAGGGTCTTTGCCTGAATGAGCTCCCTGTCATATTTAAAGTTATGTTGTTCATGGTTAGGATGGCTGCAAGTGAGGCCGTCACATGGCCTCATTATTACTGTGCATTCAGAGCAATGTGCTGTGTGGACTCTTTGCCCCGAGCTTTGCCTCTCAGGCACCATCCAGCCTGCCCTAACTTCTTTTGGTTGAGGTTACTGGGGCTGAACAGTCTAACAAAAACAACTTCAGACACTATTCAAGACTGAAAAAGATAAGTTCTGTGTATGTTTTTCCTGCTTTTACGCCTTGGGCAACTATGTGTAAACAAAAGCGTCATGTTGCTACCACATGACACAAATCACGGGACAGGATTGGCTGGCAGTGACACGTTGCTCGCGGCTTCTTTCTGGTGTTATCGCTCAAGCATGTTGACGGTATTTGACAGCGATATGGATATCATATGGAATCATAATATCATATGTTACCTACATGTAGAAAACATGTGAATGGACTGATCTAAGGAATAAACCCAAAATCAACATTTTATCACGTGTTAATATAATTCAGGCTGCATCTCGGATATGCGACTTCAAGGACAAAAATAGTCCAGAATACACATGCAACATGTACGCTTGATGTCCTCTAACTCTTTATGCTTTCTGTTTGTGATCACAGCAAGGTCTGTGGAATATTCTTCTAAAAATCAAATTTTACAGATTTGTCCCTTTTTTTGTGTCAACCACTGTAATGAAGCAAAACTTGGTCATTGGCACTGAGGCAGCAGCCTCTCGTCAAACCTTAGAAAATCAGATTGGTGTTAAATTGGAAAACCTTGTAAAATATTCATATTTAAATTACTCATTGAGAAGTTCTGCTGTATCCGGCAAGACTCTCCACTGTACAACGGAAACAAAGTCAGACTGTGTTAACCAGGCCTGACCTAGATAACTGTTATGCGCAGCAGCAGCGAGGGATCCACCCCTTCACATGGTCCCTTTGTTGCTCGTCTACGCTCAGACACACACACATTACATAAATACATCCCATGTCACAGACACATGGATCCCGTGTGTGTAACTGCTTCAGTCAGTGTGTAAGACGATCTTCTCTGGAGTGTTTACACAATGACGGGTGAATGTAGGGCATCCAGAGGGAGGAGGAGGAGGAGGAGGAGGAGGAAGAGTTTGAGTGAAGAGGGCAGAGACTGAGGTGTTGCATAATCGGAGCCTTCCTGACATGTGCGTAGCTGCCTGAGCTGAGTCAGTAGGACGCAGGGAAACGTGTTGACACTGTTACGGAAGTGATTATGAAAGGCTAACCTGGTTAGGCTGCGCTGGTCGGCCTTACCTGCCCTCTGTAGTAAAAGACGATCTGCAGCTCACTGCCAGCTGTGTTTGGTTAAATTATTTTCTGTGGTTCTTGGAGCATTTAAACTATTTTGTGGTAGAAAATAGCACAAAGAACTATGAGGGGAGTTCCAACTAGCTCTTTAGTTCTGTGGGAGAACTGCTCCGTATGATTGTATGTTTAGGCTTGTTGTCCTGCCACAGAATGAATTTGGAACCACTCAGATGCCTCCCTGATCGTTTTGTGGAATGCATAATTAGTAAAAATTAATTAAAATGCCCATTAGCAGTATGAATAAAGCATACTGTCATTACTTGAAACAATTTGTGCTTTGGGGCAACAGCGGCTGGATAAGAGGAGCATCATTTCCTGTTCCTGGTTGGCTCCATTTATAATCCATTCATCCAGGAGGCTGGAGCTGATCCCAGCCAACACTGGCACCGGTACACCCTGGTTAGGTTGTCACATGATCAACACAAAGACAGACAACCTACACTCACACGTACTGCCAATCTAGAATTATAATTTGACCTACCACGTGTCTCTGGATAGTGGGAGGAAACGAGAGCGCCCAGACAAATCCCTTGCAGGCAAATGGAGAACATGCAAACTCCACACTGGGCCTGCAGGTTCACACCCAGAATATTCTTTCTGTAACTTGCACATGTATTCTTGTCTCTGGCAACATGTATGATAAGTGTGTACTCTGTACCAGAAAAAATGGTTGATGTATGATAACCTGAATCCTTGTTTTTGAGGCAGTCATCAGTACACTGCAGTTTCAGGGTGGCATTAACTACTTATTTTTTTCTAGCATATGAAAAACACCATATGGACATAAAAATCACATTAAAACTCAAGAAGCTCTTGTGTAGCCAGCGTTTGAGCTGTCTGAATCCCTCATTCCCATCTTCCAACGTCGTCACTCTTTTTCTCCAGCGGTGAGAAACGACCGAAACAGCAAAAAGAAGGGGAAGAAGGAAGCAGTGAAAATGACCATTATGGAGACGTACGAGCTGACGGCGGAGCTGGGCCTGATCGTGGAGAAGATCTGCAGGGCTCACAGGGAGACCTTCCCCTCGCTTTGCCAGCTGGGAAAATACACCACAGTGAGTCACGACATGGTTTCTAATTATTTGTGTCATGAGAGCAGAATGTCAAAATGATTTTCTTACAACAGAGAAAACTGTCTGCAGAGAGGTGAAGATCAAACAAACAGGTTCGTCCACTGTGGCTGCCAATAAAACAGAAAAATACAGATTGCAGGCAAACACAGGATAAACAAATGAAAGTGTCTCAAAACTTGTAACGTGACTTGTTTTACATCCATCCATCCGTCATCTGTACACCGCTTAGTCCTCATAGTCCTCACCAGGGGGGCTGGAGTCTATCCCAGCTGACTCAGGGTGAAGGCAGGTTCACCTGGACAGGTAACCAGTCTATCACAGGGCTACACTTAGAGACAGACAACCAAGCACACTCACATTCACACCTACGGACAATTTACAATCACCAATTAACCTCAGCATGTTTGTGGACTGTGGGAGGAAGCCGGAGAACCCGGAGAGAACCCACGCTGCACGGGGAGAACATGGAGACTCCACGCAGGAAGATCCCGGGTGTCCTCACCGGGACGGGAACCGGCGACCTTCTAGCTGCGAGGCGACAGTGCTAACCACTGAAGCACCGTGCAGCCCCACATCTTAACCAAATTGGAGTAATGTGTGTTAATGTAGTCATTTGTAGAGAGTTCCCATCGTCACATAGTAAAGATATACTTAAGTTAAATATAATCTGTCCCGTACCGTCCTCTAATCTTGAACCCAAACATCTCCTGAACAGCAAGCAACAAAACACCTGACAGATATTCTTTCTTATCCATTCAGAACTCCAGTTCAGACCACAGGATCCAGCTGGACCTCGGGCTGTGGGACAAGTTCAGCGAGCTCGCCACCAAGTGCATCATCAAGGTGGTGGAGTTCGCCAAGCGAGTTCCCGGCTTCACCGGCCTCACAATCGCTGACCAGATCACTCTGCTCAAAGCCGCCTGCCTCGACATCCTGGTGGGTCAACCTGAAGAGCTGAGCCCTCAGTGGGACGGTGCCTGAAATAGCTGCTTCATCTGCAGTATTAAGCAACACAGACACACTCATATGTGCAGACACGTGGCTCCTCCTGCAGTTCACACCTTCTGTGGATCTAGACTCACTGTTGCTCATGCCAAAGACAAACTGACAGGCAGGCTGGTAGACAGACTGCAGGCAACAGACAGAGTGCATGTTTTATTCTTCTTCATCCTCCCTCCGACGACTCTGTCATTCTCTGCCAAGTCCGTACGTCATCGTCGCCATCTGGCCTTGATCATTTACCCACAGGACAGCGATCTGTGTCTGTGTACAACCACAAGATCGGTTACGTTTTTACACATTATTCCCTCATGAAGCGTTGAGACTTTTGTTTGCCATGTTTGGGTTCAATATTTTCCCCTTGGTAGTTGGCATCTAGAATATGTCGTCCTGTAAGTCCAGTGGGCCGCACATGCTCTCCTAAATCCATATTTGGGTTTAAATTTCTGCTCATGTAACTCAACAGGGACAACACACAGTGATTAACATTAAAGTGTAACTGAACTAGCCTTCACTGTCTAATTTTGGTGCCCTGTGCTTTATGACTTTGCACTTGTTCCGCTTGTCCACTTTGTTAAAATCAGTCTTTCTGTCTGTTTCGTTTGCTCTGTTCTTCCTCTTTTCGTCCAGATCCTGAGGATTTGCACACGCTACACACCTGACAAGGACACCATGACCTTTTCTGATGGATTGACCTTGACCCGCACTCAGATCCACAACGCAGGATTCGGGCCGCTGACCGATCAGGTTTTCACCTTTGCTGGGCAGCTGCTGCCGCTAGAGATGGACGAAACGGAAAGCGGGCTCCTCAGCGCCATCTGTCTCGTCTCTGGAGGTACCGAATCTCTATCGTCTTTAAAATGTAGTGAATGTGATTTGAATTGCTGTGCCGGTAACAGCTCCGCTTCTGGAGAGCAGTGGCGTCATGAGGCATCCAAGACTGTAGCCTGAGATGTTTTATTCCTCAAATATATTCATCTGTCACTCATAATAAAATCATACTTATGATTTTAAAAATCAAAATTGCCTCAGTATGTCATTCACTTCACACTATTCAAAATAAGCTTTATTCTTTGTCTTCTCTCGTTCTGAACAGACCGGCAGGACCTGGAGGAGCCGTCGAAGGTGGAAGTGCTGCAGGAGCCGCTGCTGGAGGCGCTGAAGATCTACTCCCGTAAGAGGCGGCCAAGCATGCCCCTCATGTTCCCCAAGGCCCTGATGAAGATCACCGACCTGCGCAGCATCAGCGCCAAAGGTTTGAAAATGCCAGCCTGCTATTCATCCATTATCTATACACCGCTTAACCCTCACTAGGGTCATGGGGGGCTGGAGTCTATCCCAGCTGACTGAGGCTGAAGGCAGGTTCACCTGGACAGGTAACCAGTCTATCACAGGGCTACACTTAGAGACAGACAACCAAGCACACTCACATTCACACCTTACAGCCCCCAGCCTGCTATTAGACTATTAATTTGTCTCTAATTCGATGTGTGCCTTGGAAAGGTGCTGTAACTTGCATCATGTACCACTGACAGAGACATTTAGAAGGACAGCCTCTTTTTCTGAGTTTTCATGTCAATGTGCATTGTAGGTTTATTCTGCAGTCTATGGTCTAAAATCTTCCTTTGAACAAACGTCTGTGAACAATCTTTGCTGGGAGGCCGTAATCCTTCTGTTGCACATTGTTTATTAGAAGCAACATGTCTGTTCATTCCCTCAGGAGCTGAGCGAGTGGTGACGCTGAAGATGGAGATCCCAGGCTCCATGCCTCCGCTGATTGAGGAGATGCTGGAGGATCTCGAAAACCTGGAGAAACACCAGAAGTCAGGCACCATTCAGCACATCCACAACTCCTCTGGTTTCTCACTCTGAAACTGCTCTAGGAACTTTTCTTCCCCTCGAGAGAAATTAGTAACGACATAATGTACAGATGCAGTTCAGAGGGTTGCTAGTTTCTTACCTCAGTTAGTGTCCAGAGTCTCCCGGTGAATATTTAGAATGAGATGCAGACGAGGGTTTCAGGAGGAGACTCAGTTTAACCAGTTTATTTCTATGAACTCAAATCCTGCCTCAAAGGAGGAAAAAAAAGACTCATGCAGTAATGTGTTAATCTCTGTTTCATGAACCCTGCAACATGGCAGCAGGCGCATCTTCACTGTTCCTGGTTTTTGCTGTATTTATATGTGCATGAGATATCACATGGATTAATTTTTTACCTCATTAAATAACGCGTTTAGCAGCAGTAGTTATAGTAAGGTAGAAAGCAAGTTTGTTTTTTTAGGTTTATACATAATGTGTCAAAATCTACGGTTTGTGTCTCATGTTTTTTGTAAAAAGGGAAATGTAAATGCAAAAACTTTTTACTCATAAGGGTGAATGTTCATAATTGGCTGTAACAAAGTCCACAAAGTAGTGTTGTGGAGTTGACATAGGATATGAAGAAGTAAACTGAATACACGATACTATCAGCTTGTGGCTCAGTGGATGTTGGAATTGAACCTTTTGCTGGAAATCAACATGATTATACACGGATGGTGGGCTGACGATGATACACAACTTTAGATAGTGTTGGGGCTACTGTTTTCTGCAGAAACATTCCCATCTACATCTGCGCTGTGGCACCGTGTTGGTCTGCTGCTCCACGACTTTTGATCTACGCTGATATATTTCAGTGTAAAATAACCTTAGTGGTCCCTTAGCATTTCCGGTTGCGCCATCATCACCTCATAGCTTTGTTTTGTGCTGATTAACAACAAATGTTAAGTAACCCGCAAAACCCTGAGGAGTCTCTGGGTGATTTTTGCTCCTGTCATGTTTTTATTCACTGAACCCATTTGCCACTGCAGTAGAAAATCGAGTAGGTTTTATGAAAACAACACAGTTATGACAAGAAGTAGAGATAACTCTGAAATATCTTCAGTGAGATACGGGGGGAAAAATACTTGGGAAAAAATGTTGGCTCGACATACTACAGATGTGTTTACATTCCATTGATTTCATTCTTGTCTCTCTGTTACGCGTAAACACAACCTGCAGTTCAACCAAGTACAGTCGTGACTCAATAATCCGACCCTTAACAATCCAAAACCTTGCTATCCGACAGGTTTTTAGGCAAAACGAACGGAAGTCATAGAAAAGAGTCTTAACATAGCGACAGCCTTGGATTGTGACTCCGACATGACATTTAATGTCACCAATCAGGATGACGGCGTATTATCTGACTGAACAATCCCACAGATTGGCTACGTTCACACTGCAGGAC